GCACTACAGAGGGGCAAACTCTGTATGTCACATAACACTGTGAGCTGATTTGCTTTGGAGCTCTGGATATTCCTTATTTACCGTGACCTCTTTGGAATAAAAACTCATAGTAATGCGTTGTTTATCCATTTATCACTGAGCTCCACTGCAACAATAAACACTAGTACTATTGTTGTCTGTGTCAGTTTATCACAGAACTCCACAACAATAAAATTCACAGTAATGTGGAGCTTTGTGACAAGTTCATACACTACACAACAACACAACTCCAGGGCAGTCTTTAATATTGTATTTGTGAGTGTATTTCTTTTGTTTTATTCTATTTATTTGGACAGTGACATACTACACTATATATTTCCCCCTTTTTTTCTCCCTGCTGTTATATATATTGTTTAAGGACACTTTAGACACTGCACCACTCCTTGTACTTTCATATGTTTGTGGACGAGACGAGAGACCCTGGCTCCGGTGATTTAGCTGTCATTTGGACTGTTCCAGTTATTGCTTAGCGCTGAATACCCTTTAGCGTTTTCAGTCTTTAATATTGATTGGACCCTGGGCAAGCATTTGCTTGGGCCCCCTGGACCCTGCCGCAGTCACCTCCCCCCTCACTACCTGGCATGCAATTTAGCCCTCCACCCCAACGCAGTGACGGACTAAAGTAGAAATAGACCTGGTGCAAGAATTTTTCGGGGTCTCCCAATCGCAAGGGTGGCCAGAAGGTAGATCCCTATCTGTCGTGCAACTCCAACAATGCTTTGACAGCTGGGGCTCTACCATTTTCCCATGCTTGCAGGGTTGTATTTAGCACTGAGCCGTATTGGTGTGTTTGAGTGTAAGCATGGTTTTAAATGGAGTATGTTTGTGTGAATGTAACGGTGTGTTTGTATGTGGTGTTTGAATGCAAGCATTCATTTATGTGTAGTGTTGTTTTTTGAATGTAGTGGTGTTCGTATATATTATTGGTATTTAACACCAAAATGTGTGTGTTTGTATGTAGTGTTGATGTTTCAATGAAGAAGTGTGTTTGTATGCAGTGTTGTAGTTTGAATGCAGTGGTGTATTTGTATGTAGTGTTGGTGAATGCAGGTGTATATTTTTGCAGAGTTATGTGCACACAGTCAGATGCACTCAGTTATACATATACACTGTCAAATCCAACACATTATTATTATTATTGCCATTTATATAGCGCCAACAGATTCCGTAGCGCTTTAAAATATTTTGAGAGGGGGCTTGTAACAATAAATAGGACTATTACAAGAAAACTTACAGGAACAATAGGTTGAAGAGGACCCTGCTCAAATGAGCTTACAGACTATAGGAGGTGGGGTATTAGAAACATTAGGACAGGAAATATCAAGTAGGAGATGCACATAGTCGCAGGCAGAGTCACATACACAGGATCAGACAGAAACACACCAACACACATACACAGTTACATGTAGATAAACACACAATTACAGGCACACAGCCACACATACCGTTTTACACACACAGGCAGACAGCCACACACACACACACACACACACACAGACAGCCACACACATACACACAGGCAGACAGCCACACACACACACAGACACACAGGCAGATAGTCATACACACAGACACACAGGCAGACAGTCACACACACAGACACACACACAGGCAGACAGTCATACGCACACACAGACAGTCACACACACAGACACACACACACAGGCAGTCATACACACATACACAGGCAGACAGTCACACACACACAGACATAGGCATACAGTCACAGACACAGACAGTCACACACACACACACAGGCAGATAGTCATACACACACAGACACACAGGCAAACAGTCACACAGAGACAGAAAGTTACACACACTGACAGACAGGCAGACAGTCACGCATACAGACATTCATACACACATACACACAGTCATACACACACAGACACACAGGCAAACAGTCACACACAGAGAGACAGTTACTCACACAGACAGACAGGCAGACAGTCACGCACACAGACAGTCATACACACAGACACACAGTCATACACACACAGACATACACAGAGACACAGGCAAACAGTCACACACAGAGACAGACAGTTACACACACAGACAGGCAGACAGTCACGCACACAGGCAGTCATACACACACACACAGAGACACAGGCAGAAAGTCACACACACACACAGGCAGACAGTCATACACACACTGACACTGACACTGGAGATTTGGTATCAGATGTTACTGTAGGTGAAAGTTTAGGATCCAGTGATCATCAGTCAGTGTGGTTTAATATAAGAACAGTGACTGAGTCACACCACACAAAAACAAAAGTTTTAGACTTTAGAAAAACAGACTTTTCTAAAATTAGAATATGGGTAGAGGAGTCATTATCAGACTGGAGCAATTTAAATGGAGTCCAAGAAAAATGGGATTATTTAAAAGTTGCTCTATTGAAGGCAACAGAAAATTGCATTAGGCTTGTCAGTAAAAGCAAAAAATTCAAGAAACCACTGTGGTACTCCGCAGATGTGGCCAAAATAGTTAAAAACAAAAAGTTAGCATTTAGGAATTATAAAAAAAACCAGAGTGAGGGAGACAAAATGATCTATAAGGGGGGCGTGTCCTGACTACCGATGGAGTAAGACGCACTACTCCTAAGCTCCTAGGCCCCAACCTGGTAAACCCCGGCAAATAGCGCCATAAACAGCCAAAAAAGATGGGGAAAAGCAAGAGGACAAACACAGCTGGTAACTCCGGTGTCACGCCGGCGAAATATAACCCCGGCCCGATGGACGAATACTTACAGGCATCCCAGGGCCCGCGAGGCCTGGACGGCCCCGCCACGCCGACGCCGTCCTCTCCGACCTCAAGCATGGCGCTCTCGGACCGGACTCCTCCGGCGACCCCTACGCTGACCCAAATATCTGCAGACCTGGCAACTATTACTAATAACATGCTCACCCGCAAAGATAAGTCAGACATGGTCGCGGAATTGAAGGCCGTTATCCGGGAGGAGATCACGGCGGTCCGCAGGGACCTCTCGGCCCTGGAACAACGCATAGATAGCTTGGAGGAAGACCGCCTCCAGCACACCCAAACAATGCAAGCGGCTGAACTGGCTACGGGGCGGCAGGGAAACATTCTCCTGGACATCCGCCGCCAAGTGGAGGACCTCGACAACAGAGGTCGTCGCAAAAACATAAGGGTCCGAGGCCTCCCAGAAACTGAGGGAGAAATCCCCCAAGAAGTCCTAACAGGCCTGTTCACACACCTCATGGGCAGTGAGGCTCCTAGTGACTTCGGTCTGGAAAGGGCCCACAGAGCCCTGCGGGCACCTAGAAGGGACGGCCTCCCACGCGACATCATCTGCTCCCTAGAATCCTTCCAACTAAAGGAGGCCATAATGCAAGCAGCGAGGGCGCAGCAAAGGATCACATACATGGACTCCCAGGTCTCCCTCTTCCAGGACCTGTCCACTATTACCCTGGATGCCCGCCGAGCACTTAGACCACTGACACGGATGCTGCAGGAGAGAAGGGTTCCGTATAAATGGGGGTTCCCATTCAGCCTCCAAGCCCGCTCAGGCAATGTCTGGCACATAATCCGCTGGCCGAACGACGTCCCCCGCTTTCTACAAGCCGCGGGCCTACCCATGATACAGATCCCGAATTGGATCCTGGAGGGTCCCCCAGCCCGGGCCACGGGTCCGTCAGAAGTAGCTCATAACCTCCGCCCGGGACCCACCCCTCCACAACGCAGGGGAGGCCCGGAGAACTCGGAAGAATAAACCAACACCGTCCCTAAACAGCCACGGGAACTACCCCCCCTGAGCCGCTCCGGCACCGGAACCCTGCGGCCGTGGCCCTTCTCCCCCTCGGATTCCTCCCAGCCCGGGACTTTCCACGCTCCGGCCAGCCAAGGGTATGTACTCTGCCACTACACTAGTCAAGGGGCAAGGGGGGAGCCTGTCTAGGTGGGGTGGCGGGGCAGCCCGGGGGTCAGCTATAGAGGATAGTACCACCCGGTCCTACCAAAAGCCAAGCTCCTACAGCGGGGTTCCCTGCCAGGTTGGGAGGGGGGGAATTTCATGGGAGAGGGGTCTCATGGGACAAAGTGGAACTCCCCAAAGAAGGCAACCAGGCCCTCAACAGGACGAATTCCCACCTCAAACGGTTGCTAAACATAGCTGTACAACGGACAGCAGATCGAACTGTTGCCGGGAGGTCAGGGGGGGATCCGGGAGTGGGTGGTGGTGTTTGGTTAACGAGGGACACGGGTGTCACATGTTGGGAACTAGAGTGGTGGACGGGAGGGCCCACTGCTGTAAATATTCCACTAGATAAGTTAATGCCCACGGTAGCCGCAAAGAGCGCCCATCAGAGTGACACATATACGCACTAGAAGAGATACCCTGCGCGTCACACCGGGCCCAGTGCATCAGCGATCACATAGGGAGGGGCTAAGAGTGTTTATAAGTGGACCAAAGAGATGTACGGACGTCTAGGGCACGACAATGGCACAATACTCGGGAATCACGGGGGACGGGCTGACAGATGTGGAGGGGGGGGATGAGGGACACATCACGCGAACACAGAAGACAGACTGAGGGGATCAGGGACTGCTCGGCCTTTAACGTAGCAAAACAAAGACAGTAACTCAGCTGCAGGCATGACCCCCCCCCCGCACACAGTCCGTCCCTGACCTGCATGCGCATTCACTCCTGCTCCCCCACGTGCCACGCACGCTACACTTACCAGACAGTAACGAGGCAGACACACTACCACGACGCCGCACACCCCCGATATGCCCCAAGCTGGAGAAGCCCTCCAAGACGGACGGCAACGGGGCCCCCAGATGACGAGACTTGGGACCCGAATAGCGATCCTTGGGCCCGCCTAACGGAACCCAAGCCACGGGCAGACATCAAGGGCACCACTCCGGGACGATCGGACCCAAACTCAGCCCGTCTGACACCGCGCCGACAGGAGGTAACACCCCACGCCCGGCGCCACTGACTCTTGCGGACCCACCGCGCACACATGCACCAACTCTTCCCAATAACACCGCTGAACCCTGACCCAAATACGGCCATGGATGAGCAAGGGTTTCGCTCAGACAGCCACGAACACGCATAGGGGGAGACTGGGAGGGACGCACCCCCTTAACAGCACACAACAAGACACACAAACGGCCCCATAGCGACATGCGGGAGCAGAGACCCGCTACCATGCACCCCATCTTCAACACTACACAGAGAGACATAGCTAATACGAAAGTCCAATACAGGTTGGGAGCCGAAGGAGATAGTAGATGACAATTGACCACTAGACCGAACCACCCCATTGGTCAAGACGACACTGTTCCTCACTGAGACAGACCCTCCTGTAAATTATACCGGAAACTCAGGGAAGGTCAGGTAACCAACCCCCGAGAACCCCCAAAATCCGGTACAGGGTCGACGTCACACCCAAACTAACCCCGCTCACGGGTCCTACTGACCCCAGATAACCCTATCCCCCTAAAACCCGCACTCTAGACGACAGCCTTCCCCCTCGCCCCTCCTGTGCCGCTGCGGGCGGGGCCCCCCCCCTCCCAAAATGGCTGCCACCCGGGAGTTTGCCCCGGCCCAGCTGACGTATTGGTCTAACAACGTCCAGGGACTCAACTCCCCAGAAAAACGGGCCCACTTGCACCGCCGACTGTGGAGTGCTAAGGCCTCCGTCGTTTTCCTGCAAGAAACCCATCTCAAAGGTGGAGACGCACCCAAATTAGAAAACCGGCGATTCCCTTTGGGTTTCTACGCTAACCACCCCGACACCAAAAAGGCCGGAGTCGCCATTCTATTCGCCCACTCGGTGCCATTCCAAACTACACAAACTCTAGCAGACCCGAATGGGAGGTTCCTCTTCTTGAGAGGCACCATCGCAGACCATGAATACACCTTCGCGTGCTTATACGGACCAAACAGAAAGCAACACACGTTCATGCGCCAGGCGCTAGCCAAACTGGAGAAGTTCAGAGGGGGCCTACTGATAGCAGCAGGAGATCTAAACATGCCGTTGGACCCCATACGTGACACCTCGAGGGGCCAAAGTGCGATCCCCACACACTGCCTGAAAGCCACGCAACGACTCCTGCACAAGATGGGGCTAGTGGACTGCTGGAGGACGTACCACCCAGACGCCCGAGACTATATCCACTACTCCGCGGTACACGGACACTATAGTCGAATCGACTACATTTTCATGGCCCAGGAGTATCTTAACCTACTACGTAGCGCAGACATCGGCATCATGGACCACTCTGACCACGCACCGGTTCTGATCGATACACAATCCCCGCTCTTTAAACCCAGAGACAGACAGTGGAAACTTAATGAATCCATGCTGGACGACCTGGAATTTACCACAGCTATGAACCAGGCCCTAAATGACTACTTCTCGACAAATGAAAGTCCGGACATACAGCCACTGACTCTCTGGGAAGCGCATAAGTGTGTCATCCGTGGACACCTTATCACGAGCTGCACCCGCCGCAAAAAACAAAGGACGACGCAAATTGCTAACCTGACAAGCCGCATAGCTGAGCTTGAGCAAACCCATAAATCCACTTTGGATGATAACACATACCTCCGACTCACGGAAACTCGCAGAGAGCTTCGGGACATATTGACCCAAGGACTACTCCACACAGCCAGGAAAACATCCCGATACTTCTACGAACATTCGAATAAAAGTGGACGGCTGTTGGCGAAGATGCTCCAGGAAAAACGGAGAACACGACACGTCCACAAGATACACACGAAAGAAGGCGCTATCACCCGGCTTCCGGAGGGCATCCTAACGGCTTTCAAAGAATATTACAGGACGCTATACGACCAAGCACAGCACAAAACGGGAAATACAGTAGCACAACACCAGGCACGGATAGCTGCATACTTGGAAGAACATACCACCCGTAAACTGACGCCTGAACAAGAGGCCGACCTAGAACAACCCATTACAATTGAGGAATTAGCGGGAGCCTTGAAAACATCCAAACCCCACAGGGCTCCGGGACCAGACGGCCTCCCTATAGCGTATATACGCACCTTTAAGGACGTTCTCCTTCCTAGACTCCTCACCGGAATCAATTCCCTCCAAGAAGGAGGACGATTCCCTACGGACACCCTGAGGGCAACGGTCATGATCATACCGAAGGAAGGAAAAGACCCAACTAACTGTGCCAGCTACCGTCCAATCTCCCTACTAAACGCGGACATAAAACTCTTCGCCAAAGCCATGGCCACCAGAGTAGCGCAGACGCTCCCCGACCTGATCCACCCGGACCAGGTCGGGTTCATACCCGGGAGGGAGGCTAGGGACAATACCATTCGAGCCCTTAACATCATACACGCAACAGTGGCCGGCAAACGAGACATGGTGCTTCTATCCACCGACGCCGAAAAGGCATTTGACCGGGTAGACTGGGATTACATGGCAGCGACCCTGAGTCACATGGGGTTTGGTCCACGGCTGCGAACCTGGGTAGCCGCGCTATACACCACGCCGACTGCACGCATACGTGTCAATGGAGCCCTGACCGACTCATTTGACATAAGCAATGGCACAAGGCAAGGATGCCCCCTATCCCCCCTTCTATTCGCCCTCACCCTCGAACCCTTCCTCGAAGCGGTCAGACGGCATGGAGGGATCACGGGATTTAGCATAGGCGGACAGGAACATCGAGTAGCGGCCTATGCCGACGACATGCTATTTTTCCTGGAGCAACCTAGGGTGTCGACACCGAACCTCCTGGACACATTCCGAACCTACAGCGAGGTATCCAACCTCAAGCTAAATCTGGATAAATCCGAGGCAATGCTGCTCACGAGGGACGCGACTCTCCAGCAACACATCCAAACGCAATTCCCCTTCAGAATATGCACCTCCAAATTGAGATATCTTGGCGTCTGGCTACCCGAGGACACGACGCGCATATACCAACTGAACTTCGCACCCCTTCTAGCAACCTTACAACTGGATATAAAACGGTGGACGGCCCAGTACATCTCCTGGTTTGGACGCATAAACGCGATAAAAATGAATGTCATGCCTCGCATTCTATACCTATTCCAGACATTACCAACATCTATCCCCAGAGGGTTCTTTCAAGCAATTACGACTACCATCCGACAGTTCGTCTGGAACCACAAACCATCACGCGTGAAACGGTCCACCTTAGAACGACCAAAAAGCCAGGGAGGAACGGGACTCCCGTCGATCACCACATACTACCAGGCAACCCACATACATCGACTGGTCGATTGGCACGCTAACCCGACCACTAAACAATGGGTCCACATAGAAAAACAACAAGCCCTAGGCAAAATCCCCGCCCAACTGTGGCTGGGCGAAACATCCTTTGAGAACATACGCACGGACAACCCAATGATAAACGCCACGCTGCAGGTCTGGTGCAGGGTTCGCTACAACGGGAACCTCACGACGTCCCCCAACCCGCTTACACCTATCACCAACAACCCAAAGCTGGCGGGAGGGCTTAGCCCGGCCGACCTCAGGAACTTGGGAGCCACAGACTGGGTATACATGAGCCAATGGTGTGACAGGCCGAACCTAAAAACAATAGGAGATCTACTACAAGACCGCCGACCAACTAGAATGGACGAGTTTCGATACCATCAAATAAAAACGTACGCTGCCGCTCTGAAAGGCAGGGGACACCTGCACCGTCCACTGCTCTACCTGGAACAATTATGCACAGACAGACACCACCTCCCACATGGAGTCTCGATCCTGTATACCATGCTCCAAAACAGCGGTAACAAACCACCGCTGGGGTTCACTACACGATGGGAAAGAGACGCAGATGTCATACTCACAGATAGCGAATGGGATAAAATATTCCAACTCACACACAAGGGATCCATAAGCACTAAATTCCAAGAATGTAATTACAAAATTTTGACACACTGGTACCGGACCCCTGATGTGCTACGGCACATCCACGTCTCGGTCCCAGGCGAATGCTGGCGGTGCGGCACAGAATTAGGCACCGGAATACACATTTGGTGGAAGTGCACGCACATCATACCCTTCTGGCGAATGGTCCACCGATTGATAAAAGAAATTACGGGAACAGAGATACCTTTCCAGCCACTGCCAATGTTGCTAAATCACACCCACACACCCCTGAAAGCATACAAGAGAGGCCTCGTCATACACCTGTTGACGGCTGCAAAAACACTCATTCCGACGATGTGGAAAAACCCCACAGCTCCCACATACCAACAATGGATAGACAGGGTTGAAGAGATCTATAATATGGAAAGGATGACGGCCTCCCTGCAGGGTCGCGCGGAAAAATGTTCCCTGACTTGGTTCCCGTGGATGGACTATGTATCCAAGGTGGCAGCTGGAGCAGATGCGGGGAGGAGGGGGGGGGCCGCTGCGGTGGCACATACACCCCCGGCTGGGGACCTCGCCCCCTCCGGAGCCAGTATGACCGATTAAAACCCACAAGAATGGACATAACTCACAACCCATCCCGACCCTATCCCAACCCCAGACCCTCCACCCCCGACAGAAACTAGGCATGGACAAATAAAGCAAGGACAGGAAGTATCCCGAAACACAAAAGCTGATACATACAATAGGATGGACAGAAAGAGACTCACGGTGCGCACAGACAACACCAACGCAATCTGAGCCCGCCGAGATCCCCAAGGTCTGAGATGCAACTGGCACCAACAACGGTAAACTAACCCCCGAAACTGAAGGGAACATAGAAAGATAGATTGGGTAGAAGAGGGAGGGGGGAGAGAGACACCCCAACACATGAAGGCGGAGGACGTACACAATACATTAAGATAGGTAATGCCTAGCTACTTGCCCCCAACGTCCCCCGCGCATCCTCCACGCTCCCTACCAACGGCCAGAGCACGCATACCTAAACATCAGACTAGTGGGGACTAGCCGGACAGAAAGACTGAGGGGGAGGTGGGGATACGACTCCT